ACTTGGGCTTTTCGGTCACAATGTCTAAGTACAATATTTAAGATACAGTAAGTTAAAAAGGAGAAGGAGAAATAACAGGTAAATAATGCATTTTGTAGCTAGAATCAATTAGAAAAGACCTAAAAGTATACTTTAAAAATTAAGTTAACTCAACACAAATGTTCTCCGCTTAATAGCTTCTGCGCTAAACGACAGCTGAAGCTATTTACACTATAATCCACAGCTTTTAAATCATTAGAAATACAGTTCCAGTTCAACTACCTTCTTGAGGAAACTGTAAAACCCTTAATTGACGATTAAAAACGTAATTTTGCCTCATTGTTTTTTCTTTTTGTGCTAGTAATGGAAGGAAGAGAAGAAAAGGATTATTAACGTTTTTAGTCTAGAGATATTACGAATCCGCTCAGTCAACCGTTTTAAAGATTAAGCACTAGTAAGTGAGCTAGTTTTCTCTCCCTCCATGCTCCTCAAGGCAAAAATCTCTACTTATTTAATTTACAAAGAAGTAACTTTATTCTCCAAATTTCCCTACCTTTCAGCGATGTCTCCTTAATTCCTGAAAAACAGTGAAGCAAAACCAGCACTCTTTCCCGCGCTTTTATGCGCGACGACGCGTACGGCTTAGAGATCACGTAGTTTTGGGTTCTAATTTGTCGGTGACGTTTTGGCAGCTTGTTAAAGTATACTTTGAAAATTAAGTTAACTCAAAACAAATGTTCTCCGCTTAATAACTTCTGCGCTAAATTACACCTGAAACTATTTACACTATCCGCAGCTTTCAAATCATTAGAAATACAGTTCCAGTTCAACTATCTTCTTGAGGAAACTGTAAAACCCTTAATTGACGATTAAAAACGTAATTTTGCCTCATTGTGCTAATAATGGAAGGAAGAGAAGAAAAGTGTTTTTTGGTAGTCAATGCTGCACTATTTTGCTTTGTCTTGGATTTACGTCGCTATCTGAATTGGAATTCAAGATTATCGTCACTTAAGTTAGAGTTAAGAATTTTAAACTGAATAACTCCAAGCAATAGTACATTGTTCTGGGTTTGAAAAAGCGAAATCCACATCCGGTTCGACGGTAAAACTGACTCAAATGCATGGAGCGACTTTGGAAGTGTTGAAAATAAGATCAATTATACGACAAAATTTATTCATAGGGAGCTGTAATAAAGCTGTCAAAAAACCAGTTGGAACAGGAAAAAGAGATGTTGAAAACTGACATAAAACAGCGGTTGTGAATATTTCTTGAAAATCTACAATTTTAATACGTGAAAAATTAGAACTTGTCCATTCAATTTTATGGCGTTATATCATTATGTTTCCATTCGATGAAATTTATTCCTTTTTGAACTGTTTATGTAATTATTCGCAAGCCGATTTCAAAATAGCGAAAATGTTTTCGTTTCACACTGGCAAACAGTTATCCAAAAGAAAGAGCAAACTTCTTTGTTAGCCTTGCTAAGATTTATTAACGTTTTTAGTCTAGAGATATTACGACTCCGATCAGTCAACCTTTTTAAAGATTAAGCACTAGTAAGTGAGCTAGTTTTCTCTCCCTCCATGCTCCTCAAGGTAAAAATATCTACTTATTTACAAAAAAGTATCTATATTCTCCAAATTTTCTTACCTTTCAGCGATGTCTCCTTAATTCCTGAAAAACAGTGAAGCAATACCAGCACTCTCTCCCGCGCTTTTATGCGCAACGACGCGTACGGTTTAGAGATCACGTGGTTTTGGGTTCTAATTTGTCGGCGACGTTTCGGCAGCTTGTTTTGCTTCAACCTTGTCCGACAATATCCGTTTTCACTTGAGAATAGAAAAGATGGCGATAGCTAAACAGATGTTAATGATAAGTACTTCCTATTAGTCCACACGATCACCTATTATTTGTGAAGCCACCGCTCAATGTTCCGCAAGTAAACGTATCTAACACTCAAAATAAATTGGACTCAAAACACAAATGCGATCATTGTTCCAATGTACTGTATTGGCAAAGGTTTTCTTCATTTTAATGCAATAAAGAAATCGGCGTTGTGGTTGTAAATTTTTCACCATCAATTTAATGACGCCGATTATCATACATTGAAAGTAGCTCTCTTAATTTCCTTAATAGTTAAGCGGAAATTTTACAATAAAGCATATTGATATCACGTTTTCTTTATTTGGGACCCTGCTTAAAGACATTTTTTGGAGAGATGATTTCTTAAGAGGAAAGAAAACACATATTCAAGGCCATATACACATTTTAACAAAAACTGTGGGAGTAACTTTAAGACCACAGAAACGGAAAAGGTCTTACAAGATACAATTATCACAGCTTAACAAGCTGCAAGGGTGGTATGAATAATGTTTAAAGCCATCTGTTTGAGTGTTTATCACACACACAAGGGTTTTTCCCCGATTGGTTCATTTCAAGGAAATGGGCCTTACTAGAGATAAGTATATACGTCATAGTTGCCAACATTCGAATCATCTACCGGATAAAAAAAGGATAAAGTAGAACAACAACTCTCTTTGCAAAACGAACCCAAACTAAAGAGAGATGGTTTTATTGTCTTATCACGAGCGTGGAACTAGATAAAAAAAAGGTTTGTTCTCCGCGAAGGATCGAACCTCAGACCTTTGAGATCTGCGCTCCGATGCTCTACCACTGAGCCAACGTGGCAGAGATTATGTAATGAACCGGGGCCATGATTTCAAGGTTCATGTGTTACAAGTGTCTCGCATGCTGTAAGGATCAGAAAGCCTATTTTAGAAAGTAACGAGATAGTTTGTGAATTTTAAGCGCTCGGTAATGAATTAAAGGAAGGCATTGTTTGGTCTTGTCACGGGCGAGGAACATTGAAAACCCAAGGCAGTTCTTCGAGGAAGAAAACTCTTTTTTACAACTTGGAGTTCGATCGAATAAAATAGTAAAGAATTCGTTAAGTTGATAGCGGCTGGACAATTCCATGTGATGGTCAAAACTTCGGATACCTCAGAACAAACTAAACAAAACAAAAAAGTAAGCATGTTTGAGATGCAAAACGTGTTTTTGCTTTGAGAATTCAGTTTATTGCGAAGAGTTAGATTCCTCTTACATCGAGCGTAAATTAAAGGTTTTATTTCAAAAGCTTAATTATAAGTAGACCAAACTTTTAAGGAAAAAGTTCTCTACTTAAAAGGTGCCTCCATGAATTTAAGTTCACAAAAAAATCATGAACTTTGATAATTATACCAATGATGCAGATTAATTTAACATTATACAAAATAACATTTGCGATGCAAAATAACTTCTTTTGTGCTCAAATTGACCCTTCAAAAATATGCAAAGGAAATGTTTCCGTTGGAATCGCAGATAATTGTACTCAGTGTCACTCAATGATCCACTTTTTAACGACATTTTGTGTTATTAGTTTGAGCAAAGTGTCATAATTATCATGAAAAGCTTTTTGACGTAAGAACTAAACGGCTTGCAATGAACGAATAAAGGGGGAAAGTTTTGAAAGAAACTTTGGTGCTGCGTCGGTGGGGCCGTTTGACAAAGATAATTTGGTTTTAATCAACTGAGTTGGTAAGGTAAATTGTCTACTCTAAAGAGTTGTTTCCAAAGCTTACTAAGCAATGAAGGAGTCCAGCTGCTTTTGTCATTCTAAAATACAGCATATTAGCTATTCTCACTTTTAAAATGCCTTATTGGTCATTGAGTGGTCCATTCCTCTATTTCAACTTCTTTTCAATTAGGATGATTAAAATCACTTTATCTAGTGGTGTTGATTTCTATTAATGATCTACAACTGCTGGTGCCAAGGATTCTCTTCCACAGCAGTTTGAATTGACGTGTACGTACTCAGTCATAAATTTATGAAGATATTTGACATTTGAAAAAGATAGATGCTGTGTGGTTTATGATTTTCAAACGCATACATTCTACCTTAACGAGGAAGTGTGGCTTGTTTTGCGACTCTCTGAAGACACTTTTTTTATATATATAATTCCTATTTACAGTTTTCGAATTAATTTGACCCGGCAGAGAGGCAGGGAACCTTTCCGAAACACTTCGGGTTTAAACGTCAATAATTTGCGTTTACGTCATGAGTGGGTTATGTTGTTTTTGGCAGTTTCCAAATTTAACGCATGCAGGACCTAGAAAGACAAATATTGCGCATCGAATTTATTTGACATGAATTAGCACTGCTGCTATTTTCAGAGAAAGTTTTTCCCCTTACAATCCAAGAAGTAAATAGCACGCCTTTTCTCCTAACAAGGTTAACAAACATTAGCCAGTCGAAAAATAAACCAGCTGTGGAGTATTAGCATGATATGAAAACAAACTCATTTGCAAAGAAACATAGAGCGTTTAAGAAGATGTAGCCGGGTTGAACGCGTACGCTGGCACGATCTTGCAAGATCTACAAAGGAGGATTTTTTTTATTTAATTCTTTGGAATTTCAAGCCGCAAAAGGTATATTTCCATGACCTGCAGGTGATTTTAAACCCATGAGTCAAATATAACAAGAATACGCTTGAAATTTAGCTTTATTTACACACTTTATAACTCCTTCACATTCGCCATGCTTCTCAAGCGGCGCTGAATCAATAAGGGTGTTATCGTGTTTCAAAGGTCTTAATGAAACTAGCTTTCCTCGTCATTTTTCGATCTTCGTTTGTGTGGTATTTTAACATTAACTATGTTGTTTAAAGCTTTTTCACGTCCGTAGTTTAGCCTGAGAGAGAAGGAGAGACAAAAGAAAGTGAGAGGAGGTTGTTTTGTATTTTAAGATTAATGCGAATAATAATGACTTAAAAAAAAAAAAAAAACGTGTCTTTAGTTTTGTCTCTTAAATAATACTTATAGCAATACTCGTCAGATGTTTCTGGTAAAAATTCCTAAACGACGTATTCGTGATATGAATATTGAAACGAATCTAATTAGAACTTTCAAAATTCGGCCCTGCAACTTGATATGACGTTGAAACGTTATTGTTTCAAGAAACAAAAATAATAGAAAATATAATTTTAGATTGAAATACCAAAATTAAAATTTCAACTTACCGAGAAATTTTGACATCCCTTAACCTTAGGCAGTCATTGATCGCCTGAGAGCCAAGAAAACGTCGTTCAATTAATTTCATGCGGTGTATTTATACTGACACTACAAAGGCCGTGGAGTAAAAAAGTTCAAAGAAGAATCTTAACCTAGTTTACGAGAGTAGGGCTCGTTCAGAACACAACTGAAACACCGCAAATAGCTTCTAAACACAGCGATAGCTTTTTCACGGGCATTCGCAGTGGGTGGGTCGAGAACGCCACAGTAAGGGGGGGCGATCTTTTAGGGTACTTAGTGAGTGAGTCAAATTTTTGTTCGCGATAACTTAGGCGATGGGGGACTTCGTAGCGTTCTTTTCACTACTTGAAAGTAATGATACAACACTACGTTTATGGACTAATTTCCACCCTTGGACGAAGAATCACGAGTTTTCTGTTGCCTGGCTGTGCTGATTTAAAATCAACTCTTCAAAACATTTGCCGTTAATCCTACAATTATCGAACAGAAATTTAGTACTTTTGGACCTCTCCTTCGAAAAAGATTCCAGCATCCGTCGCTGAATCATTACCTTTTTCTTCCTGGTCTTGGAAAAGGTATGTTGGCTGCAGGTGGACTAACTCCTCCCATACCTGCACAGAGAAACGTAATAGTCATTCTCCTTACTTTCTGCCATACAATTCTTATGATATTAGTTGGGAGAATTTGGTATTGGATCGACTAATTATCTCCTGATTAATATTTTGCTTTATTATCTAACTACACTTCGTAGAGTACAAATAACGCCATAGACGAGTACACTGAATATCACGCGGTATTTGTACTGTAGAGTACCAGATAAACAGGTTTTCTCGCATCGCGCAAGCGAAGAATTGAAAAATGGCGGACAATTTGATTCATATTTCCGACGACGAAGAGTCAGAATGGCTGACAAATATACATCCAAGTTTATTAGATGAATCGAACGAAGAAAAACAGCTGGACGACCTGGAAATTTCTTCATTTATTGAAGAAAAAAGAAACAGCAACACGACAACGTGCCAATTCCGTTCCGCTTCGCATACTTCTGTCACGCACTCCCCGTAAATAAATATCCGCGAAATTCGCCCGCACTCT